GGGCGGGATCTGGGGAGCCAATGCCATAGCCCCAGGGGATAAACCCAGGGCAAGCAAGATCCCACCCACAGACTTCTACTGTAGAGCAGGAGCCAACTTCTGCAGCCCCTAGGTCTGGCCAGCAGTGGCTGCCCTCTGCAAGGGACCATCCCCTAGTTCCCAACTCCTCTTGATGAGGGAAGGCTGCTGAGTCCCAGCTCCTGTCCCCCTCGCAGCAGTGATGTTTTTACAGCAGCTTGTGCCTCTCTCTTCTGGAAATGGGTGGGCACTGCGGGGGTGGTCTCTGGCCAGTCCTGCACACTTTACAGTCTATTCATCCAGCTGGGCTTCCTTAGCTGGCCCGCGAGAAGGTCATGAGAGACCCCTCGAGTTGCCTGCTAGTTCCAGGCTGGGCCTCCACAATCTTCTCAGCTGAGAGATCCCCCAATGATTCACTGGTCACCACTTAGTGCAGCACGAGGCGCAGGCACACTCAGCAGTGTGTGCTATGCGGGCGAGTACGGTACAACATGAGCATGGTGACCACCACCAATCCACCCTGCTCAGGGAATCAGGTCTGGCAAATGCCCCTGCTCTTTCCAGTAGCACAACAGGCACCTCCATGTTCAGAACCTGGGGCAATGCCCACACGGGGGATGTAGGGCTAGGAGGGCAGGAAGCCCAGGACAAAGCCATGGGCAAAGGCAGTTTCTCATAGGACAGGCCCAGGGAAGGTGGCTGGCCAGAGCAACCAAGACGGGATATGTGGGTGATGCCATGCTGATGTGGGTGGATGGGAGGGAGGGGCTGGCATAGATGCAGATGCACCCGGGTCATATATTAACATGGCCACCCTCCTCCACGTGTGACACTACAGGAGGAAACATGACGGCAACATCTGGCACCACAGGAAACTTGACTGGGCAACTAAAATGGTCAAGCTCCACCATAGTCACCAGCACCAGAGGTCCCATGAGAACTGATACCACCATGACCACAGCCACCGCCAGCACCTCACAGCCCATGACTGTGGGCACCACCCGCATGCAGCCCATGACCACAGCCACCACCAGCACCACACAGCCCACAACCATGGCCACCACCCCCACCACACATCCTGTGACTGTGGATGCCACCCCCACACAGCACATGATCACAGTCAGCACCAACATCACACAGCCTGTGACTGTGAACACCACCTCCACATGGCCCACAACCACAGTCACCGCCAGTACCACACAGCCCATGACTGCAGCCATCACTGGCATCACAACCCCCCTCAGCATAACCACCAGTACCCTGACCACTCCCACCACCCCCTCCACCCCAATCAGAACCACAACCACCTCAACAACTGTTCCTACCACTATGCCCACCAGTACAACTACCCTCACCACCACCCCTACCACAATTATGCTCACAACTACTCCCACCACCACCCTGACCAACACAACCACCACCACCACCACCACAACTACCTCCACCTCCACCATCCTGATCAACACAACCCCCCCCCCCCCCAACCCCCCCCCCCCCCCTGCCCCCACCAGTACTACTACCCTCACCACCAAACCCCCCACAACTATTCCCACCACCACCCTGACCAGCACAAACACCACCACCACAAGTACACCCCGCAACACCATCCCCATCAACAGAACTACCACAACTACCCTCACAATTACTCCCACCACCACCCCGACCAACACAACCACCACCACCGCAACTACCCCCACCCCCACCATCCTGATCAACACAACTACCACAACTGCCCCTGGCACCACCCCCACCACAACTACCCCTGCCACTATACCCACCAGCACAGCTACCCTCACCACCACCACAACTACCCCCACCACCCCCCCCAACCCACCCCCCCCCCCCCCCCCCACAACTCCCTCCACCTCCACCATCCTGATCAACACAACTACCACAACTGCTCCTGGCACCACCCCCACCACAACTATTCCCATTACTTTACCCACCAGCATAGCTACCCTGACCACCAAGCCCCCCACAACTACTCCCACCACCACCCTGACCAGCACAAACACCTCTACCACAACTACCCCCACCACCATCATCCCCATCAACACAACTACAACTACCTCCACCCCCACCACAACTACCCCTATCCCCACAGCCACAACTACCCCCACCCCTGCCACCACAGCTACCCCCACCACCACCACCGTGACAATGACCACTGCTTCAGGCTCAGGTGAGTTCCTGTTCTCTGCCAACACTGGCCTCCTGGGATCCTGGCTGTGATCATCCCCCTCCAGCCCCCACCAGGCCTTTGGGCTTCTCTTTGGTCCTATTTTGGGGGCTCTTGTGTCCTCTGCTTGCAATGGGTGGATCTAGATTCACCACACTGGCCTGTGCACTGCCCCAACACCCCAGGGGGTAACAGCAGGGGGCACTTCCTTCCCAATCAGGGTCTTGGGGGGTTTCCCTAAGGCCCAGACCAGGGTC